CACCGGGGTGCGGTGGGGAGCAGGGGGCGCGGGGGTGATAGCTCCGATGCCGGTAACAGGAGTAACAGCAGCAATCAGACCCCCACCGTTTCCCGGGCTGACTCGCTGGCCTCCTCGGAGCTGGGAGACGGGAAGCAGGTCCAGCCCTGGGCGGAGTGGGGAGTGGACGCCCGGGGGCCGGGAGGACCTACTTAGTATAAGAATAGGAGAGCGATGGGTGGTCGGGGAGGAATTGAAAGAATACTGACCGGCCCAGGGGGTGGAGGGGAGGGAGGGTCTCTCCCCTTTGAACTAATGCGCATCCAGGGGGGCAGCCCTTGGGGTGTGTGGACGGACGGGTCACCTGCGTTAACTATGTCTGGGGGCCTCGTGGTTAAGCTGGCACCTCAGCTGGTTCCCTCCCCTGGCAGTGGAGGACTTGGCTAAACGTTAGTCCGAAGATCTGACCCATTGCCATGGCCTCAGTGAATACTGAGGCCCCAGGAGGGAGGTCCGTGAGTCTCCGGCCCCTGCCCTTGACCTCAGGGATGGGATCTGGAGTCAAACGAATTCGTTTGTCAAGTTAGTGGGGGATGGGTGTGGACGTGGTTCCTGGAACCTTCCAGCAGGAAATCCTTGGCCGGAGACCAGAAGGATAAAGGACGATGATCTGGTCACCTGGGAGAGTGGATTAATGCCTGCTTTTGTCTTCTTGGGCACGCCCTTTGTGACCTTTCTCCAACCAGTTTCTTCTCTTTTTTCCTCTCCGTATAATGACTTTATTTTCCTTTTTTAAAAATATGTTTTTATTGATTTTTAGAGAGAGAGGAAGGAGTGGGATAGAGAGATAGAAACATCAATGAGAGAGAAACATCACTGATCCCCCATAGGGGATCGAGCCTGCAACCTGGGCATGTGCCCGACCAGGAATCAAACCAGTGACCTCTTGGTTGCTGGGTCGATGCTCAACACCTGAGCTACACCAAATGCTCAACACCTGAGCTACATACCAACTGGGCTGTTTCCCTTTTTTTAAAATGTAGAGTTAAAGTCATCCAACATACAGATGTAGCTATGCTCCTTACATATTTTGTTCTATCTAAAGTTAGGTATTTCAGCTCTGAGATGAAGAAAATGATCCCATTAAAATGACAACATTTCTGAAAAATGGGTTTCATATTTACATGACGGGAAATAAACTCCCCACTACCCCCCCCCCCCCCCCCCCCCCCAAAAAAAGAAAACAACAACAACAACAAAACCTCTAGTCCAGAGCTACCGGAAGACAGTTCACAACCATGGCTAACACATGGTGCCCATGCAGAGAGGGGGCCCTGAGACAAGCAATGTTGTTAAACTTTTTATTTTTTTTTATTTTTCTTTTTTCTTTTTGTTGTTAAACTTTTTAAACCAGCTACTTCTTTATTGTTCAGAATAAGAATCCTGAAGAAAAGCATTTTGCTTTTAGCCCAAGCGGCTATGAATAGTAAAAACCAACTGATTTGAAGTCCCTGGAATGCATGCAACTTAGACTTTCCTAACGGGCACAGTCAGCTGCCAGGCTCTGAGTCCGCCTTTTATTTTTTTATTTTTTTAATATGTTTTATTGATTTTTTACAGAGAGGAAGGGAGAGGGATAGAGAGTTAGAAACATGGATGAGAGAGAAACATCGATCAGCTGCCTCCTGCACACTCCCTACTGGGGATGTGCCCGCAAATAAGGTACATGCCCTTGACCAGAATCGAACCTGGGACCCTTGAGTCCGCAGATCGACACTCTATCCATTGAGCCAAACCGGTTAGGGCTCTGAGTCTGCCTTTTAGGAAGACTGGTGCTCGCTGGGTCACCGGCTGTTTATCGTTCCTCGGGGGCTTTGAGTGGCTGCTGCTTTGGCATCTGGCTGCTGGGTTTCAGTTTTGGGATCTTCTCCATTTCCAGCACTTTTCTTACTCTTGTCTGCTGCCACGATGGCCCCCATGATTTCCATGATTTCCGGCGGTGGCTGATCACTTCCCTGGAGCTGGTCCAGCCCTGGAGTTCATAAACCTGGACTTGACCTGGGACATCTGTTGCTTTCAATTTTTTTCCAGGATGGTCTGAACCTGGCTAACACCATCTCCCCTGGCCTGACGGACCTCAGCTGGTCGTCCTTCAGGATCTACCCAGTCCAGAGCCAGTAGCTCTTTGGTCCCTTATCAGGTAT